GTGTGTGGATTAACCAAATAAGTGGTGTAACAGGAGCTAGCACTGAATCTAAATGTAGTTAGGTAAGATTTATATTCTACTATTTTGTTTTTGTTTTTTTTACAAATAGTAGAAGGCAAAGTAATGGATTATTACTATTATTATTACTACTTGTTAGTGCACCATCCAATTAGTAATTTTTAATTGACAAAAAATAATAACATAAATAAACATTAAATAAAAAAAACAGCGGTGGGATCTGGTCAAATATCAGAATTTGTTGAGAAGGAACTTTTCTTGATTACTACATGAAAACGCACTAACGTAGTGTAAGGTAAAATTACAAAAATATTCAATAATTTGATTTTACAATAATATATAAATTAATAATTAATAACTTTAATTACTTAGAGTTCAGTTTTTGCCAATTCTTTTCTAGGCAATCAAATGTGATATGACTATGACCTAACAGAAAAATTATAAAATTTTGACCAAAGGTACTGTTGCTTTCGATGAGTTCCTAAGGCGGAAGGATTGAATCAAACACATAGTTTACACGATTATTGAATTCGTTTTATTACTCAGATAATATAATTATATACAAAGACTAATCATATCATATTAATTCACAGTCAATGAATATATACGTTACAAAAGATTGTTTCAAATGTTTTAATAAAGATAATTTTATTCTTCACATGAATCTTCCGCTTAAATTCTTTATACGAGAAAAAGAGAATTTGGCAGAAAAAGAAACAGTGTGTATCTTTTTTTTAATTGAGTTTTAATGTGAATATAGAATGCCAAATAACAAAAAATATAGTATAATATTTGCATCAATATACACAAATTTAATAAGCGTTGGATAATATTCAATTAAGGTTGGAAAAAAAAGTATTGAAATTAAAGTTGAATTGAAGTATATGGTATAATTGTGCCTAGACGTAAAATTTATCTAGGCTCAAGGTCAAGGGTGAAAAACCGAAGATATTGAGTGAAATCATAATCAATTTAAAATATTTATATACACCAGCATTTCAAATACTGATGATTAAATTACTACTTTCTTCTTCCATTTTTATTCGTTCACTACATTAAAAATAGATATACATTTTACTTTTTTAATTTTAAAAATCAAAAAATAATTTATCATTATACCTATTATACCGTTAATTTTAAGTACTATTCATTTTTCAATATTTAAATAACTTATAATTTTTTAAATCATTTTATATTTTTCTTAAAGAGTTTACCGAGCCAAACATAAATAATTAGACACAAACAAAACAAATGGTATTTTGCAAATAATGAAATATTATTTATAATCAAATGCATTATAAGGGAAAACGTACAATACAGTTTATTTTTATAGTGAATTTTACCCACTAACTTAAAATTCCAAATCAAATTATCAATACTTCCATACTAAAATTTCATTCCCAACACCAAAAACTTCTGCCGTTTTCATTTGTTTATGTTGTCTTTTTAAGTCTATTTTAAATAGAATTTTTTTTGGATAATTTTAAATTTTTCTTTTTTCATAGTATAACATATTGAAATCATAAAATATTTTAAAACATATTACCTATCTTTAATTTTAAATTATAAGATTCAAAATATTCGGTTAGCATTTGACCCCAAATTTCTATATATTCTCGGCATTATTTTGGGTGAAGTTTTACCATGCGTTTGACCATAAATTTTGGGAGAAATATTTGACTATTTCATAAAATATGATTTATACTCATAAGTTCTAAAAATTATTTAAAATACCTTTAAGGTTGTATTGTCATTTATAATGAAATGTTTCGTTAAGAAATAACCTTATAACATAATTGATAACAATCAAGAACAAGAAAATAACAAATATGGACAAAAGCAATACATTAATTGCATACTCAAACTTGTTTCGAGATGAATTATAAACTCATTAAAAAACAAATTGTTCTTTTTTGGCACCGTTATGTATAGATAGCATAGAGGAATAATTATTAGTTATTAATGTACTAGATAAATATTAGTTAGAATTAAGAAACAATGAATGTTTTTTTAATAAAATATAAAAATTTGGGATAATTTTAAATTTTTTAAAAATTTCCAAAAATCAAAATTTGGCTCAAATACTAATTTTTTTCTAGTATTTAAAAACTTGAGATATTTAGCAAATATATTTGCCAAAAAGAGGCAAATTATATTGCCAAACATCATTTTGTAAGTTTCCCCAAGTATATTTAAGGCCAAATGGATCCTCAATTAATTTTTTAAACCTTGTTCAAACTCAAAAATCAGTCAAACAAATTAAAACCGATGGAGTAACAAAAATAAGATATTTTAGGTGCTTACTCAGGGGAGTCCACTCCATTAACAGGACTAACACTAAATTAAACTTTACAAATTCTCTAAATCCATAATTCCAAGGTTCCACTTCATCATTCAAAGTCAAATGTCATCTTCCATTCTTTTGCTTTTTTCATACACTTATATTTCTCATGTAAACAATTCATCAAACACCTTCTATGCATCCCTACTCCCTAAAGCTCAAAGATGAAACTTTTCAGATTTTTCAATCTTCCCCTTATAGTATTCATCTTATTGATTCTTGTATTTCAACCCTTTCTTCATTGTACTGCTATTGCTGGTGCTGTAGCTGAAGATGATATAAAGTGTTTAAAAGGAGTCAAGAACTCCTTAACAGATCCAAAAGGGAACTTGAATTCATGGAATTTTGCTAATTCTACAGTGGGGTTTATATGTAAATTTGTTGGTGCTTCTTGCTGGAATGACCGTGAAAATCGTCTCATAAATCTTGAACTTCGGGATATGAATCTTGGAGGTAATGTTCCAGATTCGTTAAAGTATTGTCGAAGCTTGCAAACTCTTGATCTTTCTGGTAATCGGATTTCTGGTTCAATTCCTTCTGATATTTGTACTTGGCTACCTTTCTTGGTAACCCTTGATTTGTCGAACAATGAATTTACCGGTTCTATTCCGTCTGATCTTGTTAGTTGTTCCTATTTGAATAAATTGATGCTTAATGATAATAAGCTTTCTGGGAATATACCACCTCAGTTTTCTAGTTTGGGGAGGCTTAAGATATTTTCTGTGGCAAACAATGATCTTTCTGGTAGGATTCCGGAAGCTTTTGATTCGGTTGATTCGTTTGATTTTGGAGGAAATGATGGGCTTTGTGGTGGTCCGTTGGGGAAATGTAGGAGGCTTAGTAAGAAAAGTTTAGCTATTATTATTGCTGCTGGTGTGTTTGGTGCTGCTGCTTCTCTGTTGTTGGGTTTTGGGGCTTGGTATTGGTATTTTACGAAGGCAGGGAAAAGGAGGAAGATGGGGTATGGATTAGGGAGAGTTGACTCGGAAAGGTGGGCGGATAAGTTGAGGGCTCATAGGCTTACTCAGGTTACATTGTTTAAGAAACCGCTTGTGAAGGTTAAGTTGGCAGATTTGTTGGCTGCCACGAACAATTTTAGTACGTCGAGTGTGATAAACTCGACTAGGACAGGGACTACATTTAGAGCTGTTCTACGTGATGGTTCTGCGCTTTCTATTAAACGGCTTAAAGCTTGCAAGCTGAGTGAGAAGTTGTTTCGAATGGAGATGAATGGACTAGGACAAGTTAGGCATCCTAATTTGGTGCCACTTTTGGGCTTTTGTGTTGTTGAGGAGGAAAAACTTTTGGTTTATAAGCACCTGTCAAATGGTACTTTGTATTCATTATTGAAAGGGAGTGCAAGTGTGTTGGATTGGCCTACTAGGTTTAGGATTGGCTTGGGTGCTGCAAGGGGCCTTGCTTGGCTTCATCATGGTTGTCAGCCACCAATATTGCACCAAAACATATGTTCTAACGTTATTTTCCTTGATGAGGATTTTGATTCTAGAATAATGGATTTTGGGTTGGCAAGGCTAGTGACACCTCCAGATGCAAAAGAGACTAGTTTTGTGAATGGGGAGTTGGGTGAATTTGGCTATGTTGCTCCGGAGTACTCAAGCACAATGGTGGCTTCACTGAAAGGGGATGCTTACAGCTTTGGGGTTGTGCTTTTGGAGTTGGCTACTGGGCAAAGACCTCTAGAAATCACTGCTGCTGATGAAGGTTTTAAGGGAAATTTGGTGGACTGGGTAAATCAGCTCTCTGTTTCTGGTCGGATTAAAGATGCAATTGATAAGCATATTTGTAGAAAGGGCCATGATGAAGAGATTGTAAAATTCCTCAAAATTGCTTGCAATTGTTTAATTTCTCGGCCCAAGGAGAGGTGGTCTATGTATCAGGTATATGAAGCACTGAAGAGCATGGCTGAGAAACATGGTTTCTCTGAACATTATGATGAATTTCCCTTACTATTTAACAAACAAGAGACCAGCAGTCCCATTTGATACATGAATGGGAAAGCACTATGAGATGTTTCACATCTGGTGAACACAAATGCATTATGGTATGTTCTTCACTTCCCTTAGGTGCAAGTGGAATCAGGCACGATACATATGGTTCTGTGAAGTACTACCACAGATATTGCTGTATTATACTGTGAAGTGTCAAAACATTCTGAGGTGTTCTGCTCGAAATTTATGTTACAGATAGCTAATATTATTGGTATCTTAGGTTTATGTTTCTCTTCTGCTCATACTTATGCATTAAACAAGACAGTAAGCAAAAGCTGTCACAGTTTATTTGAAAGCTATAATACCTACTAATTTAACTGTTTATAACTGACCTGGGCATTGGCCTTTTTAGGGTCGAGATATATTCAGTATGTCCCGTACAGTCATTTATGGTTTGTAAGATCAAATCACCCTAGGTTTCCCTAATGGATTGGTTCGGTAGAATATCTGCCTCCACACTGATATTAATTCATCTAATCGGAATGCTATCAAGCAGAGTTATTAGTAATTACCCCTTCTGATTAATTTTGGATGATGTTGATCAGTAATTGTAGGTCCTTTTGCAAAAATTGTGTCTGATTGGGAATAATTTTCACTAAAATGGAAGTTGAATGGGCTTTCTGAAAGTTATGTGCCCTCTTAAATTTGATTTGGCAGCTGAAATTTTCATTCACTTGATTCTAATCTGCTTCTTTACAATCTCAGAAACATAATGCACAATTATAGTTTCCAAGTAGGAAAAAAAAATTCTTGTTGACAGTTGAAACTCTTTGCAATAGAAGTTATCAAGCCTCTTACTTTTTCCCTCAAGCTCAAGCTCGGATGCGTGTTTCCATATGCTCTCCTGCTTCCCTGAAAAGTCATTTTGTAATATTTCAAAACAACTACTTGTAGTCTAATAATAGTAAATGAAGGGAAAAGGTCTGTTAGCAAGTTATCTCATATCTGTCCTTGTCTTTAACAGAGCTCCAGCTGGGGGACTATATGGATTCTACGTATTAGAATATCTTGGTAAAGAAGTTCAATTTTACCTATCCATTTTTTAGTAAGGTTTTAGATTATCTCATGTTATATTTTGTTACAGTAGATGAGTACTTTTGACCCTTTCCGAAAGCAAATAGATATGGTTGGGTAAGCATAGAAGTATGCTTTTCTTACTCATGAATGTTGCAGGGTGAAATGTTAAAGCATTGAAAATACCTGTTGTGTATTGGATCAGGTTCACTAGGTACTCTTCTTTTGCTGACATAATTGAGATTGGTCCTTTGAAGAGAATGCCTTTCTGTTTCTATTATCCTCTCAGCCTCTAAATGTTGATTGATTGTCGTTCCAGTAACTGTTTTGGCTGCAGGCTTTACTAAAATCTCAGCAGAAACAAAACATAGAAAACTAAGTAAAAGAAGAGCCATCAATAAACTGCTGCTGCGGCGAGCACCATCACCACCCATAACTCCAGTATTACTATCTCAAATTCTCCTGTGTTTGATCTTCAATGCACATTTGTGGATCAGAGGAACACACCAACACCAAATTTTCCTCTGGTACTATGTAGACAGAAACTACAAACAGTATAAATGTAATTCTGTTGTTGGGATGCTCTTAAATGGAGGATTTTTATTTGCCATAAGATTCATATATAGCATGGAAAAGTTAAAGGTGGTTATGTCCAAAAGCAACAAAAGGGAAAGGTTATTTGAAGATGTGGGGTAAAAAGTGAAGAGAATTAGGCGTAGGGATAGGCTGACAACAGTTTATAATAAAGTAAGATGTCCAATTATTTATTACCTCGTTAGTGCAGGTATAACATAGCCAAGGGGACCTTTTTTTTCTCTGTGTTACCCATCCCGTTACAGCTTCCATTTTTTGCTCCCTTGGTGACTCAAAATTCAACTCTAATCCGTATTTCAAATGTGTATTTTTTTTTTTCCAAAGAACTAAAAGGTCGAACTATCAAGTTTAAATGTTGATGAAAATTCAGGTTAAACTTATCAAATTTAAATTCCGTATTCGTTTTTGAGAATTGGACATTCATGATTGCTGGCATTGAAAAGGTGATTTGGACGCAAGAAGGAGCCATCAAATTCAAAATCATTGCAACTCCGTCAGAGCAAATCAAAGAGAACTTTATTCTTTATTCCAGAATTAATTTGAATATACTTGACGTCTTGTATTTTCATCCGAAGAATCTGTAAAGAGAATTTCCTGAAAAGAAGTGCCGGCAAAATAAATTAAAACCTTCTGACCACGTTATCAAGTCCTTACTCATTAGAATATCTAACCCAAAGAGTTTAACTTATATATACATCGTTAGTATAAAAAAAAATCGTACAACAGGCACATTATTAGCATATGCTTGAGTCTGCTAAGCAATACTCCCTCCGTCCCTATTTAGTTGTCCAT